CTTCCTGTTAAAAGGGAGTTTTTCCTTCCCACTGTCGCCAAAGTGCTGCTCATAGGGGGTCATATGATTGTTGGGTTTTTCTCTGTATCTATGAAGCTATATAAATAAAATTGAATTGAATTGAACAACTGGACGACGTGCTGCAGCAGCACTCACATCCTCTGACACTTTTTATCTTTGATCGTGTTCGACGTTTCAGCTGTTAATTGTGGAGCGCTCTCGCTGCGCCGCATACGATCGCCTAAAATATCAAGATTCTTATTATGGACACAAAATACACCTGACAGAGGAAACGTCACCATGTGGACTGATGGACAAATGAGTGTTAAAAACACTACAAGGTTAAAGTTAGTAACATGTGAGTGTGTACGGTCATGGATTGAACACATTACGCCCCCCACCAAGAACCAACCACAGCGTCTGCCACAGACGGGCCCTTTATGTTGTCCAGGAGAGCGACCACCACCTCCACCCCCACAGCGACATTTCCACACACCAATGAGACAACGCGGCCAAAGTGTGGCTCCAACCCACACGCCTCGATTATGCATGTACCGTGGCTTTCCTGATGGCTGCTGTGAGCACGTCTGAACCAAACTGTGAGGAACATTAACATAACGTGATCACGTCTCACTGAGAAGAGGACGAGGCCGGCAGTGTTACGAGCATTACTCACGCATTTGTAGTTTTTAAGTATAAATCGTAACCTAACTGAGCGAAGACAAACAAGCAGTGACTGCAAAGGTTCGAGACAAAATGATTCAACTAATCCTTTATTTTAACGTCGTCTTGTGCTGCGTGGCGCTCAGAGTAAGTGTGAGACGAGGCGTTTAGCGTCAGCGTGGTGTGAATACCTTGATGTTAGAAGAATGGACCTCAGCCAGGAGGATCTGCTCGGGCTTCAGGCTGCACAGTTCACTCAGCTGTTTCTTCAGCCCGGTGTACTTCTCGTCCATGTTCAACCTCAGGCCGTAGCGCACGGGCGTGGAGCCGTCCAGCTTGATAACTACAGACACATCGCAGCACAACAGAATTTGTTCTTTAAT